CACTGTAATATCCACACAGGACGCATATGCAAGTGCTTAATAACACAAACCTAGGGGCGTCTGAGCTAGAACGTGTTACGGCTAATGCATTCATTAAAGACAGCGTCTGTCGTATTAGCACCGGATTCAGATCAGATATAGTGTGTGTGTGAAAGTGTTACTGTATGAATATAATGTAGCTGCCCTGTGTATAAAAAAACACACCATTTAACATTTTAATGCTGGGGTTTAATGTACTTGATTGTGTCGCATCTTACAAACACAACAGAGAACAAACATGGGTCTGGGAGGCGTCTAGGCGGCTAAATCTGCTGCATTTTCAGACTATATTTAGGCAAACTTCCCTCGAATAGTTCAGACTGTGACTGTGGTGCGTCTGTAAAACACACAGCTGAAGTCTGATGTGATTTAAAGCTCTGTGAGAAAAGGAAAGGCATGAATCTGATCCGAAATCAAAGCGTGTTTGATGATGGACTGACAGGAGAAACATCGCCGCTTCTGACCTTTATTAGTCTTTCTCTCGTCTTCTGCAGAATGACACCCGTCTGAAGTATTAAAAGAGAGCAAAAACACTGACATCATGGCACTGGGATTCATCTACGACAGGAAAACCTAGTGTCGAGATCCTGCGGGGAACCTGTGACTTACACGAGGACGGTCAAAACGCTCTTCTTATCAGCGTCAATAAATAACGGCAACGGCCACAGGATAAAACTCCCTCCAACAGCGGATAAAAAGCCTGATTTCAGAATAACAACAACAAGGATAAAAACGGCGGCGGTTTCCTCGCGTCAGCTCCTGTCCGCTCTGAAAACAGACCAGAGAGCAGTCAAAGCATCTCTTCTCATGAGTCACATGACATTATATTGAGCAACCGGAAACAGAAAAGCATGCAACACTTTAACACCAGGCTGTTCTGGAGGTCTTAAAGGAACAGTTCACCCAGAAATGAGCATTTGCTGAAAATTTCCTCACCCGCAGGCCATCCGAGATGCGGATGAGTGTGTTTCTTCATCAGATTCTGAGAAATGTAGCATTGCATCAGTGTCTCACTGCAAGTTGTGTGTGTGTGTGTTTTTGTGACAAATGAGGACATAAATTTGTATAATGACAAGGGTATGACATAGGTATTACAAGGAGAAGGTGACTTTTCAGGACATTACCCCATGTCCCCACTTTTCAAAACGCATATAAATCACACAGAATGGAGTGTATTGAAAATCTGAAATAGCACAAAGTTTCCTGTGAGGGGTAGGTTTAGGGGTAGGGTTGGTGTAGGACAATAGAATATACGGTCTGTACAGTATAAAAACCATTACGCCTATGGGATGTCCCCACTTTTCACAAAAACAAACCTGTGTGTGTGTGTGTGTGTGTGTTACCTGCTCCGTTGTCTCTCTCTCTCTCCTCCTGCAGCGAGTCGATGAACTCCTGACTCAGAGTCTCGTCGGTGTCTCCGATGAGGTAGATGTTTTTAAAGCGATGATACAACATGGATGCTTTAAACATGATCGCCTCGCTGCCGCGAAACCATCGCATCTGACCGCACACACACACAAGTTACTCCATTACTCTGCACCAGTGAGCATCTTCACATATCTGGAGTAGACGTCACAGTGCATTGTGGTGGCAGAAAAACACTGGGAACAAGTGGAGGGAAATGGGTAAAATCCATGGAATAAGAGAAAAAAAATATTTTTTGTGCCTTTGGATGTCAGAATGGGAATGCAAATCATTTCTGTAGAATACTGTCGTCAAAGACACCATTTGAAGCTAAACGCAGACGTTTAAACGAACAGACTATGAATGAAAACTGCTATGATTACTCTACTTCTAATGCATTAATTTGATTTAAACAATAGTTCTACATAGTATTCACATATGCAGTTCACATGAGACGTATTGTATTAGCCCTACAGTTACAGCACGAAATACTATTTAAACCTATTACTATTAACATGTGTGACCCTGCAGCACAAAAGCAGTGTTAAGTCGCTGGGGTATATTTGTAGCAATAGCCAACAATACATTGTATGGGTCAAAATTATCAATTTTTCTTTTATGCCAAAAATCATTAGGATATTAAGTAAAGATCATGTTCCATGAAGATATTTTGTAAATTTCCTACCGTAAATATATCAAAACTTAATTTTTGATTAGTAATATGCATTGCTAAGAACTTCATTTGGACAACTTTAAAGATGATTTTCTCAATATTTAGATTTTTTTGCACCCTCAGATTCCAGATTTTCAAATAGTTGTATCTCAGCCAAATATTGTCCGATCCTAACAAACCATACATCAGTGGAAAGCTTATTTATTCTTTAAATAAATATATATTATTTATATATACAATTTTATGTTAAAATTGACCATTATGACTGGTTTTGTGTTCCAGGGTCACATTTTACACAACATTTACCTATTTTTTTCTCACAATTCTGACTTTTTTTCCTGCAAATGGAAGTTTATATCTCCTAGTTCGGACTTCATAACTGATTTAACTCAACAATAGCAAGTTTGTCAGGAAAAAAGCCAGAAGTATGGGATATAAGCTCATATTCTGAGCCGAGGGGAAAAGAGAGAATGACAAATTATTTTTCCTTATCAGGATTGTGAGATATAATTTTGGAATTGCGAGAATAGAAGTCAGAATTTTGAAATATAAACTCAAATTTACCTTTTTTATTCTTTTATTCCATGGCTTCCATAGACTGCTACTTGAAACTGTCATTTTCTGCCACCAGATAGGCTCCGCCCACAAAAAAAGCGCCATCACTGTTTGCAAACACTGAACTGGTCTCTACGTACCTTTCTGAGCGTGTCGATGAGCTCGCTGTGGTTCTGAATGTTTCGAGACGAGACTGGGACGGTGCTCAACTCATCCAGAGCCAATAAACACTTACTGACATCCTGTGAGAGACACATACAATAATCACTGTGAGGTCAGTGAGCAGCTCTGAGAATTATGATACTGAACATAATTATATACTTTATAAATGATATTAAACGGGTTCATACTGGATTTTCGAGCGTCATTGAGATTCTGATGTCACCATGCAGCCGGTAGAGCAAAGAGTCTGTGATGGACAGAGAGTGAGCTGAAACACACACACACACAGTTAGAGATACACACACACACAGTTAGAGATACACACACACACACACACAGTTAGAGACACACACACACAGTTAGAGATACACACACACACAGTTAGAGATACACACACACACACACACACA